TGTGTCTGTTTAGACTCGTATCCAAGGTGACGCTACAGTAGGGGATGGCTGCGTTTGCAGTTGTAGACTCCGGTGCTAGTGGATCGCGGGAGCTGTAGATTAACATTTGCATGCTTATTGTAGCTGTAAGGGCAATGCCTGTGGCACCATGGAGCATATGTGTGGGCTGGACCTGTATTTTACAGGAAAGGAGTGATCAGATGGTCGAGTTTTCGATTCTTGTTCAGTTTTCATCTTCCTCATCTCAGACTTTGAGTTGCGCGCGCTGCTAAAGAGACGCGCTACCATGGAAACCAAACAATGGTGTACCTATATTAAAGTCCGAGTGGAAACAGTCGTGAGTAAATCTGATTTTGTCAGAAATCGGGAGAAATGCGGGAGTCTCCCGCGAAAATCGGGAGGGTTGGCAAGTATGACACACACACACACACACACACACACACACACACACACACACACACACACACACACACACACACACACACACACACACACACACACACACACACACACAATGTTCGTATTTAGTCTCCTGATTTTAAATGCCCTAGTATGGTTTTGTCACCATTTCCATAGCCCCACCAAAAATATTTTCCACCAGCCGCCACTGTTATTAGGATAGGATGTCACATGACAGCGTTCAGATCTTACTTTTTTTTTTCCAGGAATAGAAACGGTTGATGAATAGCAACTTCTAGCAACAATGACAGCTACAAAGCATTACCAAACTTAAAACTAGTCAAGACTTTTATAGACAGTAACGTTCATGCCTGTCTTCATAACTGAACTAATACTGGATTCACATTTATTTCTGCCATTCTTTGGCCCAGTACAAACAGTCTCTCCCTGCCGCCATCTAGTGGGCAGAACAAATCCCTGCACCGTGTTCCAAGAAATGAATGTATTAGTAAAATCGGACCCGTTTTTGTAATACATAATTGTTTTTATTTAAAATTGAAATGTGAAGCCAAAACTTAGTAAGTCAACGTTTCATTTCCCAGTCAGTGTTTTTTATGTATTTCCACTGAGTGGCAGTGTGCTACAAAAAACGTTAAAGAGATCTCCATCCGTAGCCTGCGAGAAAAGAATGGTTAAATCTCTTCACTAAACTCAGTCATATAGTTGGAGCTACTTCTGTCCCAAATATTAACTATCAGAGGCAAAGCTTTAATAATCACCCTGCTGTGTACGTGTACAATACGTGTTTTACTATTGCTCAGATTTTGTGTGCTAAAAGTGGAATTTGTAATTTTCTCAAATTGATGACTGTTCCAGCCATTCTTCATTTATAGAATAAAGAGTAAATAAATTGCCTAACACGTGATTTATCATAATATTATATGACACACAACTGTTTTTAAATTTTCATTTGATGCATGCTAAAGTAAAAATATAACTCTGAAACAGACACTTATTTTACTCCTCATGGCCATACCTGGCTGGACACACTCAAGCTGTCATCTCCAACCATTTGGTTAATTTAATTAAACAAACATTTTTAAAGGAAAGAATGCAATCTAAATAGAATGAGTGAAAGATTGGAGATGAGTTTTAAACAATATCTTTATTTGGTTTCTAAGCAAAAACTAGAAAACATTGACAAACCTAATACTCATTTCTGACCAACACTAATGGTGACAAAAATAACATGTACATATTTAGAGAATAAGAGAAGAACAAAACGGAAGGGAGGCAGACTTTACAAAATATTCTGTGCAGTACTTTAGATGTATTCACATGTTAGGCTGTTTGAACACAATGGGGAGAAGTAGTGAGCAGCATGTTGTCTGTCCCTCTGTTTAATAAACTAATACTGTACACACTGTATATAACATGCTCCATACAAGAGTCCAATACGCTTTGTGACTTTGGGTTGGTGTGAACCATAACACATGCATGCATATATCAAACTGTGATACAAATATATCCTACTGTTCATCTGTCTCCATGATCATATTGGCAGTCCTTTAAAGGGCCCATGTCATGCTTTTCCGGTTATTACCCGTCCCCTTGTGTGTTATGAAGGTTTTTATGCATGTAAACGGTCAGCAGAGTCACAAACCGTCAAAGTACACCCTGTAGCGAGTAAAACTCTAACACAGAGAAGACCTGTCTATGCTGCCCCATAACGCCTCGTTGGGGATTTCTCTTTTTCCATTGTTTTCTTCCTGAGTATAGTGACTTGCCCATACCCAAATGGACCAATCCGTCGAGCCGCTACGTTACGTCCGCAGAGCCGTTACGTTAAGTCCGTGGATTGGTGTGTGTGTTCGGGCTGGGTTTCACTGTGTCTCGCAGACGGCCACTGGGCTCATAAGGGGCGGGGGGGCAGGAGCTCCAACAAGCCGTTTAGGACAGAGAGTGAATACACATACTATACAGAGATGCTGTATGAGACCTTTAAGCATCCTGCACTAACCACAGAAACAGAACTCTCCTTTGTAGCCTGAAGTCATTTTTGGATATGAATAGAAATACAGAACATCATTGGCAGCATATTAGCCAAATAAGCATGCAAGTAACATAGATTTAATGTTTTGTCATATAAAAATAGAGTCCTCCATCACCCACTCCTGTTAGGATAATGACAGAAATAAGGCCACATATCCGTTTCCTTTCTGATACAATATGCTAAATATCCTGACAAATCCTGCTGACTATCGTTGTAATTATTAGCTTTAGAGACCTCCAAAACTTTCATTTTTTTGTAATTCTGCCTATCCAATTACCACAGTTCAGATATAAAGGTTGTTTGTGTATGTGAGGAACAGAGCCTGCTAAAGCCAAATTATTTTGGGGTTCTGCTGAAACACTGGTTCATTTTTGCTTTAATCCTTATTTAACACAATAAAAGGATAATACAAAATTAAACCAATTTGTCAGCATTCACTTACTACAGTAGCTGAAAAGAAAAGGCAGCCATGTATCAAACTGAAGTGTCCCAACAGTAGTCAGGCTGAGCTCTACATACCACAGCTCTCATCACTCTTTCTGTCGGTGTCTTCCCTGCAGTACAAAATGAAAGGTGACACTTTCACACATTGTCTGCTAAATATCTGACCTGTGGAATGTGCATTAACCCACTTTAAACAGGCACATGCTCCAGATAGCTTCAGAAGCAGAGGCATTGTTCACCACCAGCGCGGCAATAGTCTGTGCCTCACTAAATGGTAGATGTTGCGCTGGCTGGAGGGAAGGGGGGCTGGCAGTGCACGGTATGTTCCGGTCTGTTCTCCATCCCCACATGATTTCATGGCAATATTTCTTTCATGCCCTGCGCGTCCAAGTAGGATTATTTTCGATGTTCTGGTGCTCAGTCTCTAAAAGTTGACCTCGAAATGCAGGACATTCTCCATCCCTTTAAATATTAAAACATTTTTTAGCATAGATAAATATGCAGCATGTTCATGAAGCAGTGAAAAGAAGCAGTCAGACACCCCAACAGGACAGGATTGAACCCAACTGCTCCTCTGTTTCAGACCCTCTGTTTTACTGTTACTGTCTTTAAAATGCACTGAGAATAAACTAATGAGGAGAGGACCCCCTGCCCACTGCTGTCTTTCTTTACAACTGATTAGCTCAACTGGTAGCCCCCCTCAGGATTCATCTCACAACGGACCCTCTCTCCCTGTGAGCAGGAACCGAAGACTGACATCTGCAGGAGGAGTTGTGATAACAAAAAGCTCTGTAGTTTCGAACATTAGAAATGTATTTGATGACTGAGGGAAAAGTTAACTACATTTGAATCCTTTGATATAAATGCAGTTTGTGTGTAATTGCAGAGTTGTGTGTTTCCCCTGTGTTCTGATAGGTGCTGACAAAGTCAGAACCTCCAATGGATCAGAAGAGCATTTGCTATGAGTCCAGTTGGAGGAATCCTCCCCACCAACACTCTTCCAATTATGATCTTCAAAATCCTGAACCATTTCCTGTCAACAACCCTGCAACACACACACACACACACGCACGCACGCAGGCAGGCAGGCACACACACACACACACACACACACACACACACACACACACACACACAACCTGTGAGTCTGCTGGCTCTCAGGCGTGCGCTTTGCTCTGCTTGGGGGCGGGGGTGCTGGTGGACATGGAGGGTGGGTTTGAGGCGGCGGGCAAGGGGGGCCGGGGCTCCAGCCCCCGGCTCTTCATGAAGGACAGCAGCTGCTCGGGGATCTCTGCCAGGACGTCTTTAGCCAGCCGGGCCATGCTCAGGACCGAGTTCCCCGAGCGGTCCATGTAGTCCCGGAAAGGGACAAACTGGAGAGAAGGGACACTGGTTGATTGACAGGTGACCATTTTAGAATGAAATTAAACAAAAAGCTGGGTAAAAATATAGGGAAAATATTATTATATAAATGTTATACTAAAGATTATATGGGGTCATGTTTGCAGAGGATATGGAGTCACATTCAGATTGATACTTGGGAGGAAGGGAAATATAAATATGAATACGTTATTAAACACCAGCCTGTAAAGAAAGTTACATTAAGATAATATGTATACAAACACAAGAAGGTAAAGTGAGTTTGTAATAAAAACATGAAATAAAACAAATCTATTTTAAAGAAAAATAAGAAGTTTGAGTAAAATGTTCAATAAAAGATACACTTAAATGTAATAAAATCAAAACATTTATATAAACATTAGAGGATAAAGTAAACATTTGTATATTGTCCTACAATATATAACGTGTATATTACAAAATATACAGTGTATCAGCTATTAGGACATTAATGATGAATTGTACATAAAAGGGTTTGGCTGCGGATGCCTTAGAAAGAATGAGAGCAGTTTGATGGAAAGACTGACTGACTGAACGATTTACATTTCTTAAATGTGTGTTTTTCACCAACAATATTTATTATTTTATTCTACTTTTTGAACAAAAAATACAAAATAATTAATAATACAAATATTTAGCTTTAAACTCAAAGTGTCTTTTTGTGTGACCATGAGCTGGGTCGGATCAGAGGCTTCTTTATGCAGCTGTGCTAACATCTGTAATAAGGGCCTGTCTTAGGTCAGGGTGCATGTGGACTCACCTGGACGATGTCTCTCTCAGCGGAGCGCCCCCTGGAGGACACTCTCACCTCGTCTCCATCCAGCTCCTCCATCGCTGCAGACAACACAGAGCATTTCACTGTTATTCATTCATTCACAGTATTCATGTCATACTTGTGTTATTCAGTATTCTATATATTCTTAGTAGTAAATACACATTTAATTTATAAAGAACCTGTTTATGTGTATTGTCTGTGAAGTAAATCAGCCACTGTTCACCAAGTCAACTTTGTGGATTATGAGACTATAATATTAAACTGTACTACCATATTCTCTCTCTGATTAGACAATGGACCTGCTAAACGTTATATTACCGTCATTTAAACTTAAACTTTCAGTTTTGATAGCCAAAGTAGAGTGTTGTTACTCAATTAATTAATTAATTATCACATTTGCAAGCCATATACACTACACCAAACACCCTGCATTTGCTTTACTGAACAAATTACACATATATATGTATATGTATCGTAGGAGCCATGAAACGTGTATAGTAATGCGTTTTGTTTTAATATAAGATATTTGTTTGATCACTATTGATTGGTTGGCTTGGGTCACATCATGGATATGGGCGGCACTCATTATAATCCTGTTCACCTGTGTGAGGTGTGTGTGGAAGAGAGGGTGACACAGGGGCCGTTTCTCAATGTCGAGGAGGCTTGCTTGGTAGCACAAGTATGTTGGGCATTTAAACAGTTCTTCGGCGCCACTCGATGACGTAGTATTCTTGAAATAGTGGCTCTGGAGCAGCTTTACTCGACATTGAGAAATGGCCAGGGTCGTTGTACTTTTTGTTGACCGCAAGTTTAATGATTGCTTTGATTACTATAACAATGTATATGTCCAAGGAAAATAAGTTGATCATCCCAGATTTCATTAAACTACATTAATTTTCAACAGAGTTTTTGATCTCAGCAAGTCATTTTTGTAGCGTGTCACACAATATCAAACAGGCCCGGCCTCAGCCTCTCAGCGACTTTGTTTGTTTCCTGCTGTCGCTATATGTATATTATAAGTACCAAAGTGTCACACATACCACACTGAAATATATTTTAAAAGCATTTAAAAGTCTGATTGAATATTGCAATATTCATATGCAGATCACTCAATCCTGATGTTAAGGTGAAGGATTAAACTACTACTTACTATATTGTAAAGTAATGCCTTTGTATTAATAACAAATCACAAGCAAGATGGGAGGCTTCTTTGATTGATTCTAGCTCTGTCCATTCATTTGGTATTTTCTTGTATTACTCTTTTAGCCCGTGTGTTAGCAGCAAGCAGATCTCCTGTCAGTACACAGAGCCCAATCTGGACTACTTTCCCTTCCTGGTGTAAACACAGTTAATTACGCCTTGGCCACAACAAACACATGATTTATTGATGAATATATTTCCTCTTTGCGAATCCTCTGAACAATAAGTGAAGTAACTCTCCACTGCTTTTAGACTGACACTACGTTTTCTTTGTTGGCATGCACACGCTGACTTCAGAGCCAATGCTTTTGTCTTATCTCGGGTGAGTTGCCAAAGGAGTAAACTTATAAAAATTCCATGCGTCCCTTTAGGAAGGAGTAGAGAATAGAAATGATCTGCATTATTAACATTTGTCTTCAGGAACAAGGATTGTGCATTCAAATACATCAATCTAAAAAAGAGAAGAGATGCCATCTCCAGTCCTTATTATTATTATTATTACCTGTATTATTATCATCTTGTTATAATAATACAAGATAATAATCTAGCACAAAATGGCTTGTTCCACAGAATCAAAACACACATACAGAGCTCGGCTCTGTGTGTGTGTGGAACAAGCCATTTTGTGCGCGAGAGAGCGCGCACCGGCAGGGGTGCCGCCAGGGATTTCGGGCCCCATGAAAAGATATCACATTGGGCCCCACCACCAGGCCCAGGCCACGCCAACCAAGCACAATGCTGTAACCACACCTCCAGAACCCAACCGACTCATTTATGCTTTAAATAACTCTACCTGAACAGGCTTGCATCTATCTAGTAGTCCAATACTAACTAAACAATATTTACTGACACTCAGCGGTGAAAATATAACACTGTGCAGACGTGCAACATTCTGCTGCAGTAGAATTCACTATTTTATATAACACTAACATTCCTGACAATAGACCTCAATAGTCATCTTTTATGGTGTACATGCCTTTTTAATAACATTTTTGAATGGAACATTTAAAAATCATAATAAATATAACTTAAATATACATGACCTCTTAAATTAAAATAAAGCGAACATTAACACCAATATTATAATTTATAAAATGCTATAATAACATAAGCAGCAGATTTTTTAATTAAATATACATACCAACTATAAAATAAGCGGGTATTAAAGTGTAAACGAACAACAAAACGGAAATGGAAATGAAAAGGCCTGATGGTGGTGCTAAATCAGAGCCTATTACCTGTTCTCAGTCTTTTTCTCATCATGCATCTTCTGTGTAGTGATCCAATATTGTTACCATAGCCTTGCCCTTTAAAGAGCATCTTGCAGGTTGTTTTTCTTTCTACATTTATGCTTTAACTTGCTTGAAAATTACAATTAAAAAAGTGAATGTAGGATTTGATACGTTTAATGAGACATAAGGGCAGGAATTCAGAGGGAAAGGAGCAATTTTGAAGCTCTGCTCTTAAAAAACTGCTTTTTTTTTAAGGGTCATACGGTTCAAACGCGTCATATTACCACCACAAATGGTAAACATCTCGGCTCCTCTGGACGTAGCGGCTATAGTTATAGTTGCGTCTGAGTTACGGTTGTGTATGAGCTGTATTTTTCGGTATTTCATTGTATTTCCCACCATTTGTAATCATGGTCGGCAGTTTATTGTGTTTGTGCAGGTTGCCAAATACCAGCCCTGTCAGGGACATCGGAGTTCCACCAGTTTCCCTCATCAGTACAAAGACCGGAGGCAGGCGTTCGTTCCTGGGTGCGTTGTGCATCCACCCCCTGCAGGCACTTACTCTCCCACAGGCTTTATCCAGGGGGAAAGAACCGTATTACTTCTCTCTCCCCCCCTTCGCTGCTCTCTCTCTTCCCCTTCCGGTACACGGCCACCTTAAGACGTAGTGGGGGATGCCATTAGGGAACGCTGTGGTGGCCATGGCCGCTATCTACCATTGTGGGTCCACCGAGGTCGGGACCTCGAAATATTTTCTCGAGGTGTGGTATACAAACTTGTGAAAATTGCACTAAACGGAGGTCCTTGTAGTCTACCCATTTACTGCGATGGGGGCCGCTGCATAACTACGTAGCCTCGATTAAAGCAAACAGAAAGGAAGGACGACCAAATGTATCAACAACACCCACCCGCAGCCCGGACTTGTGTACCGGAGCAGCAGAAGTAATGATGATGGATATCTAAGAGATCTGAGTCAGCGGGCTTGCTTGTGTTTCTGTTTCATCAAGGACTCATATGATCAGGTCAGTCCTGTGTGAACGCTTCTAACGTTAGTCAGTGGGACGTCCAGACACTCATGCACACTACTTTATACTGCATGCATAGGCTATCCTTTGGTTTAAATTGCGTGAATAAATCTAGGCTAGAGAGGCTAAATATAATCCACATTCATCCAATGGTCAAGAAGGATTCCTTTAACAAACGTGGTTAATGCTTTTTGCTTTCTTTCAATTTTGAGTAAAAACAATGGAGATATAAATTGTATGTTTTCTTTACCCCACTGGACTCAAGAAATAATGGAAAAGACTTCGTCAGGGTCGAAGCTCAGGCTTTGTAAGGGAGAGACAGGACAGGGCAGAGAGGAGAGAGAGAGAGAAGAGAAGAGACGGAGATAGTGAGAAGGAGAGAGAGACGATGAGGAGAGAGAGAGAGAGAGAGAGAGAGACCAGAGAGATGATGAGAGAGAGGAAAGTGGATGGAAGTCAGGGAGAACTGCAGATACATCCACACAAAAAATAATGTAGGCTATATAACCCCGTCGCAGTCTATCTATCTATTTCTATATATATATATAGATCTATAACAATAGTTCTTAATTACAAATAGGCCATAATTGTAAAACAACATAGGCCTTACATTCTATTGCAGTTTATTGATGTCTCATAAGTTAACATACAATTCTATGAAACATCAATTTGCTTAACATTTTGTTCCTTTTGAAATTCAACCAAAACAGGATTTAAATGCAAAGAATGCAAACAAGTGAAATGAACTAAAAATTGCTGGAATTGCTTTTATTCACTGGTCAGTAGCAAAAAGTTGAGGGAGGAGCAAACAAAAGTCAACAACGGAAGGAGGGGATTGAACAAAGAGAAAAGTAGGAGGACGAGGGAGTAATGAAAACGGGAAGGACATAGAACTATAAGGAAGATGGAGAGAGAGGTTGGGCAGGTTATGGGAAAGGAGAAAACCATTGTGGAAATGACATGTTGACAATGTTTTGTATCATTTTAGCCTCTTCCTTATGTCCGAGATTCATTGAATAGTTAACAATTCAACTGATTCTATGCATTACTTTGAAAAAAATAATTGATGCTGACCATTTGTCAGCCCACTGGAGCATGGGTTTGATATCGAATATAGTTAGCGCAATGTTGTGACCCCCCCAGGCACTTTAAACAAAGCCACCAACTAGGAGCATGGAGAATAATCCCCAAAAATCTCGGCGGGGTGTCCCTGAACCCCTACACATATTGGACCCCTCGCTTATTTAGGAAATCCTAGGGATCACGGCTCCTTTTTGTGGTGGCTGTACTGGCTCCCAAGCGTCTGCCTTTGTGTTTTGGTTGTTTCCTCCTGTCTCTTGTTGTGGGGGCGTGGTGGCTGTCACTCCGGCGTCCCGCTCAACCTCCACTCCACCTGCCTGGCCAATCAGCGTGCACCCTCCCCCGACCTACACCACCTGACTTGTTCATCAAAGGCCCCATTTACAAACGGCATATCAACGGAGGCTCCCACCAACCTTTCTCGCTCAGATGTCAATATCAGGCCGTATCTCGCGTCTCCCCTCCGTACACAGGCACCGTAAGTGTGGAGGTGCATTAGGTAACGGAAGATACGGCTGATTACTTGGCTTTAGTTTCTGTATTGGATCAGTATCAACAGTCCTGCCAGTACGTACTATATTATCAATGCTACGTTAGTTATAATGCTCCCTGATATCATGGATAGCTAACTTCACAATGTTGTGGATGTGGACGTTAGCTAACATTTCTGTTAGCTAACGCCGGTCAACTCACCCAAGATGAGCTGCCCAGTTCTCACTGGTTCTCCCTCACCACCACGCAGGCTCATTCTCCGATTTGCCGTTATTCTTCTCATCCTTGGCTTGCTCCTGGTCTCTTGGCGCCCAAGGCAGGCTCTATAATTCATAAGGTTGTGGTCCCGTCATATGGCCATTCGAATTTCAATGTTCAACTTCTTCTGTGTTCTTCTGTTCAAAAACAGCATTGGGATCCATTGTTTATTAAATACGTAAAACCGGCGCTCTCCCCCCTTACGTTTCCCCCATGTTACGTCACACACGGGAGGTCCCACGTGCCAAGGCTTTTTTTATGCGGAAGTGAAACATTTCTTTACAAAAAAACGACGCAGATGTCACTGGGTAGTGTATATTTCTGTATATTTTTTTGAAATCTAGTGTATTCATAATTTTCTAGACATTTATTCAAAGGTGGTCTATTAACCTGGAAGTTGCTCTTTTACAGTTATTACGAGCCCTCGCACAGCCTTACTCACCAAGAGGCCAGCCGCCTAGCCTTCTTACAGGCAAAGTCAACTGATCAAGTCTTGAATTCCAGCTTTCTAGCTAACGGCTTTCAACGGACAGCATGGGCAAGACTTCAAAAGCCTTATGGGGGTTCCAGGGCTGCAGAGATATCCTATAACATC